CAACACCCAACCAGGTCAGATCATCTTTTGCAGCTCCATTGACCAGATGAAGGAGAACATGTACCGTAGCATGGTGCCAACCCTGGTTATCCCCGCCCACTACATGCGCCTGCCATCTGAGTTTTCTGGCAAAGATGGCAAGGACCAGAAGGATCACGACAAAGATGGCACACAGATGGGAGGAGGGCAGCAGCACCATCACCACCACTCCCAGAAACAAGGCCAGCAGCAGCAACAGCAAGGAGGATCTCAAGGCGACGACTCTGAAGAACCGAGCTGGGCATCTGACTCGTCCGGGGGACCTGTGACCATCCCAGTGCTATTCAACGATTCCACCATGGCTCAAATGAACGGGGAACTGCAAGCTCTGACAGAGAAGAAGCTCCTGGAACTTGGAGTTAAACAACACCCGAGGGCGTGGTTCATCTCTCTTGATGGTCGAGCTAATGCTCACGTGCGCCACTCCTACATAGATGTTGGGAATGACCTCAGTGGCGGTGGTGGATTCGGAGGTGGCTCCAGCAGCACTCCACGGGATGTCAACCTGGAACCGCCTCTGGAGGCCCAAGAGCGAAAATCAGCTGGAAATAGAAAGGGAAAAGATGAGCGCTGGGGGACGGGAGGACGGAAGGGCCACGGTGTTAGCAGCAGCGGCGGGAAGAGTTACTCCAAGCTGGCCTACCCTGACCACAGCGAGCCCAGCAGCAGTGAGGGACGTCCCGTCTCTCCCGAGGAGAACTCCCTAACCCCTCTTCTGGACGAAGGCCCGTCCTCCCGAGGATCCACCATCCCTAGAAGAGGACGCAGCCGCGTGAACAGCAGCCGCAGCAGCAACAGCGAGAACCGCCGCGACTCCATGACCAGTCCAGAGGATGATTCCGAGGACAAAGATGAGAACAAGAAGAGCCCCTGGCAGAAGATCGAAGACAGGCCTCTGATGGTCTTCCACCCCAGGAAGTGAGCTTTTTGAATGAACACTGGAACTATAACAGCCTTGTGAAAGAGGAGTCTTTCACATCACCGAGAGGGAGGTCACAATAAGCACAGCCACTGCTTCACCAATCCATATCCAGGTTGTTGTTTGACCTTTGTGTTTGCCAGTTACTCTCGTAGCCTCACTGTCAGTTAATCCCTCTGGTTTCCACTGAGTTGTAGATTGAAATCTGTCCAGTTTATTGTGAACCCCGTCTCCTATCACCTGTCACTGAACCATGGTCTGAGCCATTGCACATACTGACTGTGGAAATAGCCATTTTATAGAGCAAAATATAAGAATAGAGCACTTGCTAATAATTTGATAACTTATTGATTGATACTTACAGAGTATTTGGAAGTGGATGGCATTTTTTATGGGACTGATGGGAATTCTTGGCAAATTAGGTTTTTTTCCCTGGACTAATTCTACCCAGATGCTCACAATGACTGTAGAAGATGTGAGCTTCTTTTTTCTTCTCTACTCCGAAACAGCTTCCCTGTCTGAGGAAGTTGTGAAAGTTTGTCCTTGAGCTCTTGTGAACAGATTACAGAAATATTATAAAGTCCAACGTGCAACTTGCATTTTGCTCCTTCAGGGATGTTCTTGATTTCCTCTTCCTCCTGTACTGTGTTCATGTGTTGTAATTACTTACTCAAATAGTAATGATTTGAACTGTTCAGCATCATCTCCATCTTCTCTGTAATATCACAGTGATCTACTGTACAATTTTGCCAAAAGTACGCATTTCTGCCTTTCTTCTCTTGGTGAGAGTTTTGGCCAGCAGAGACTTTGTTGCATTTGGGTCATTCCAGTAAAAATCAGTCAGTGCCTCCCACCTGACCCTGTTTGAATCAGCAGATTTTTTATACAACAGCATCTGTAATAAAGAAATGTAAGGTTTCACCTTAATACTGTGGATATTTTTACAGTTATAAGCCCTCAAAATACCTAAGAGTGGTTTAAAATTCAGCTCTTTTTAATTCACATTAAAGCTCTGTTAAAAACTTCAATTTCACACCCACTCTGTCACAACCCAAAGGGTCTCAGGACGAGTGGATGCTCTGAGTATAGGTCAACATATGAGAACACTTGCGCTGAACAAAAGTAATGGCCAAAGAAAATTTGGAGACCCTCAAGGATTTTGAAAAACTTCTTTAGAACCTAAAATTTTTGGATAAATGTGATTTATCAAAATGATTAAACACAGTATGTGAGCACCAATGTCATTTCTCTGGTGAAATATTAGAGTTGTTTATGTAAAATCTGTGTTCATCAAAAGCAACATTATGGCTTTTAGACTGTGACACTTGGAGATGGTGTAACATTGATTTGCTCACAGTTTCTAACATTTATGATGTTAAAAACTCAAGTAAAACCCTGTGTACTTTGAGGGCCTTTAACTTGGACAGTATTTATAGAATGAAGGTAAAAATTTGCATGGCCTCATTAAATTTGAGGGGGGGAGCCGTGGAAGCTTCTGAGGGGGTCAGGTGGGATTTTTTTTTTTTTTTCCCAGATTGGGCTGATTTTATATGGAATGACCCATTTATCTTGTGTAAATACATGCCCAGATATTTGAAAGACCATTTGGTATAGGAAGGTTGCATGCATATGAATGTATGAAATAAACAGAAGGCACCAAAAGCCCTCCCCTACAAGTTCCTGCTAGACAACCCCTAAACGCCAAGAAACAAGCGTAGTTCCAAACCGCTTTTACTTGAAGACTTACTGTTTCTGAAATATCCTACTGAGATCAGCGGGGGTTGCCTGTAGACAGAGCCTGAACCACTTCTCTCCTGTAAGTGCCTTCTTTCACATAGGATCGAGTGATAGGCATGCCGGTCCCTTTTTAAAATGCAGTCAGCGGTCACCTAAACTCACTGTCGAGATCGGCAGGCACTGATAAGCACACTGCATTGCGGTAACAACAACAGCAACACGCGTCACTCTGGGGAGCATGCCTGCCAAAACAGACAACTTTTCTTGCGGCTATTCCGTCCTTGGATATCTTAATTTCTTGTATCTATCCTCTTTTTTCACGGAACCTGTAAATGGTATGATCTATATGAGATTTTATGTGTATACAATGTGCATGTTAAATGTAGAATAGGGTGTTTTTAATGATTTTTTTTTAAACTATTATTATTGATAACAAGGATGTTTGGCACAAAATGATGCATTGGACTGTGTTGCCAAATGAACTTCATGAAGATACACTGACTTTTCCCTTAATCCAGTTCTAACGAAATTCACTTCCGGTCGTAAATGTTTACAACGATAACATACTGACCAACACGCTCCTGCTGTTACTAGCATCACCACTGCCTATTCAACAACTGTGAACTTAGCGAGGCTGACGGCTGTTTTGTTGGTGGTTTTTGCAGAGTAATGGGTTGCTTATGAAGGGAAAACGGCTGTATAAAAGTCATGCTGACATGTTGGTCCTTTGTAGCATTCGCTTGCTGTTCATAAGCCTGTGTCAGTAGCCTACGGAACAAGCTGAAAATGTGATGTAACTCAAAGTCTGAAGAATAGCACAACCATGAATCGAATCCTGCTAAAATGTTGCGCCCACTGCTGTAAGTGTACTTTTATTTTTTTGAACCAGATATGGAAAGTATTGAGTTGTGCAATCGTGGCTTTTCTTGCTTGTTTATGTTTTGCTAATGAAGTGTTTTCTCAGATTTGGTGAACGATTTGACACCGAATCCCCGAGAGGAAACTTCAAATCTGGCAACCTACCGCGCTGGATGTTTTTGATAGTTAAGAGCATCAAGAGGACTGAGCTGTAGGCCTTCATCCTGTGCAGTAAATCATCGGCTTCATTCACCTGGTCAGTTGTTTGTAAACTGTAAATTGATTCAACTTTCTGTACATGAGACAAAATAGAAATAAATTTGTTCCCACGGTCTGTCTGTGTTTGGGATTTTATTTTAAAAAACCACATCAAAACTAGCCTCTAATTAGGTCAAAAGTCCATGAAGAAAAATAGCAAACTCAAGCTGTTGGATAAGTGAATGTAGCAGAACAAATAGATGGCAAATAGATGTTCCACCAAAGGATACTGAGGGCAATCAAGGAGAGAGGAAACAGCTGGAGGAAAAGAAACAGCTGAAATTAATCAAGATCAAAGATACAATTAAAGGAAATCTAAATACAAGACACAAAACACAACTCACTGCCAAACTAAATCAGGAAGCAGGCAAAAAACCTGACAAGAAGATAAAAGAATAAAGTAAACCTGAGGTATCAAATATTTAGAAAACTAAGTGTTTTCAAATAAATAAAGTAAAATAAATTCATTTACTTTGATTTAAAAAAAAACCCCAAAATAAAGTATACAATAATAACAGTAATGTTTTACATATTCTAATCATCTAGGAGTGGGAAGTATGCACATATAATTAATCCCACCCCTTCTTCATAAGTGCTGAAGTATTGTTTCAGTTTCCTTGTTGATAGAAACTTCAGGAACATCAACATACATATTTGCACATAACTTATGCACTGTTTGAAATGCAAAAAAATGTTCATATATAGTTTTTATAATTCCGCAATTTTTTTCCCGCACGTCAAAGGAAAATGCCTCCAATTTTGGAATGTTGACTGCAAAATCTGAGTAGAAAAAGAATATAAAAACTAAACAAACAGAGATATTATTTGAAATTCAACCATCATTATCTTTTTATTATACCTAATAAAGACTATGTGTTTTAAGCAACTTTTGCCATGGTTTTTCTCTCCACACACACAAACACGAAAACCGTAGGTTTGACGTTGCCCACCGCTTTAAGTTATAACGTCCTTCTCTTACAGAAAACATGCTTTCAATACTTTGTGATGTTTGAATTCTTACCAAATCTGTGCCAGTGTCGTAAGTTTTCATAAATTCAAATAATGCAATAGATAAAAAGTTAATTTAATATTCTATTTTTATATTATTTTGTTGTTGTTTTATTTTCCTAACCCTGGAACGCTGCAGTGTACTGGCCCTTTAAGACGCTAGCCTGTAGAGTCACGTGTCAGGCGTCATGTGATATAAGTATTATCAGAGACTGTTTGCTTTGTGCGTTCTGGGTGTTGCAGGCTGTCACTACCACATCAAACGGTACATGTATGTGACCCTTCAGACGAGGTAAGAGGATGATTTCCGTTTCGTACGTTCATTTTAGGAGAAGAGAACATCCGCTTAACTTCATTTAAACCAGCTAGCTTTGTTTTTAGCTGCATAGCCTGCTACGCTAACTTGTATTTTTATTATAAAAGCTAGCGTTAGAAAAGCTCTCTCCTTTCAGCTGGTATTTTTTATAAGTTCCAGGTTATTTTTCTTAAACGTTGTCACTCCTTTTACCCCCTGTAGTATAATGCAGTATTTCCTAAAAGCATAACATCGACTGACAGTGTACTGTTGTTTTTCAGGAGTATGCAGAAAAGTGCCCAGTGCTGATAACGATTAAACTCTTTCTACCTGCTCTCGGGATTCCTGCTAATCATGGTAAATGTTTTATTTCGTATATATTGCTTCAGTATTGGCTTTGTAAAGGTTTAGTTTGTATATTTAAGAAAAAATAAATAAAAAGTGGGCGGAAAGCGACTAAACCCCATCCCCGAGCTTTACCATATATTGACATATGCACAGGTGAAGTTTAGCAATCTTTCACGTTATGAATTGTTGCAGTTGTTCTTTTAAAGTCGTTGACAGTAATGTTTGTCTTTTATTGAAATGTGAGCTTAACGTGTGTTTACAAAGAAACTAGACCTTCCATTATTGCCCTGTTGGTGCAGCCTTTTCTTATCTATTTTCATTTGCTATGTACCAGATCTGTTTGTCTTTTAGTTTATATTGCCCTCCCACGTTAGATTTAAATGGGTGTCGTGGCGTTGCCCTTTGGCATCGTGTGTAGGTTCCCACTTATCTGGGTCGTGGTAGTCTTTAGATCTGGAATATAAGGCAGCTGGACTTCATAAGGTTTTGAAGATATTTTACTTGTCATCCAAGAGGCTTCTTGAGTTTTAGAGAGGGAATGCTGTCCTTTCACACCTTGTCTCAGGTGACTGACATCATGCTGGGCTGGAGCAATGCCTGGAGGTTTTACTTGTCTGCTCAGGTGACAGGATTGACCTGCACAAACACTTTGGGTCACTGCTCCCAAAATGACCTGGGACAGTTTTTCTAAACCTAAAAGAAACTGGGTAGAAATTTTAAGATTGAGCCACTATATGAGCCATCATGACTCCTTTCTAGTTTGTAGCCAGTGTGACGATTTGGTAAAAGTTAGAATCTGGCAGGTGAAACTAAAGTGGATTACCTGTTTGAATTTACTTTAATGATTTGTACTCTTGAACTAAATGCCATGAACAGCACGTCAATCCAGAGCTGAAAGATCTTATGAACTGATCAGATCATTTCAGCAGCACGTTACTTATAGATCTGCTCTCTGGTTAAGACAGTGGATCTGTATATGACCGTAGTTAACATAAGCCAGGAAATTTATCAAATGTCAGCATCCTGAGCAGTCCCTAATCTTTAATCTTCCCCTCATGTTTGCTTTTTTTTTTTCTCTCTCTCTCTACATCTTCTCGATCTCTGAGAGTATTGCACATTAATATTTTATTGTTGGACAGTCTCTCTAATTGGAGATCGGGCTGAGAGACAAACTGCACAGAAACAGTTTGTGTTTTGTGCTTTTTGAAACATTGCATTTTAATTCTTGCGCCCCTTTTTTGCAGTACTAGTAGCTACTTAAGAGGGACTATAGGATCTTTGAAATTGAACATGTCTCTATTACAAACCAGGTGTCTTACTTAGGTTACAGAAAAGAGAAGGAAACGAATAAATAGAAACCTGTGAAATGCAATGATGTAAAATCTTTAAATAATAGAATGCAATGATTCTAGTAGAACAGGAGCTCATGAAGCTAAATGAGTATTGAGGTGTATAAAATTTGAAAGGTTGCATTTGCCTGTGCTCATGGAAGTGCAGCTGAATGCCATCAGTAATAGATATGGACGCTTTCCAAAGAGTGAGAAGTGCAAAGAAACACCCCAATGCTAACCTAGTACAAAAATATGAAAGTGAAAATTGACGTTTTGAGCAGACGCATAACGCTATTTTAAACATGTTGCATGTGTTCAGTTTGAACATCCCTTTTTCATTCTCAGTACAGAATCTGCAAAAGATGAGAAGTCCTTAACTACAGCAAAATGTATTTGTTGGAACTTGGTCTCAAGTGACAGAGCTGTAAAAGCAAGCTTCATTTTCATATTTGGGCAGTTTCAGGCGTCATCTTTGAATTGAACTGTAATTAGATGTAAAATGAGGAGTTCTATAAGGCTAAGCTTTTATAAAAGTTAAAGTTTATGTTTGGACTACTTGAAGGCTTCTTGTTAACAAAATTAAATTCCAAGAGGCTGCATGAGGCAAACTTTTCACTTGTATTAAAATTAAAGCATCTCCATAAACTGCAGCTGTCTGCCCTGAGTTTAAAACCCCTGCCACAGATGCTACTGCTTGCGGTCTACAGTGCATACTGTTATTAAATTATATTTGAGGAAATATTTGTGGTTTCAGCCCAGAATTGCCACCTTGTCAGAAGCATCCAGACTTTTAGGAGACATTTCAGAGTGTTTTGTGTTTTCTCGTGATTTCCTCTTAACCTGTGCTTTAGCAGTGTGTATCATCAAAGTGGTATTAATAATCTGTTTTCATTCCTGATGCTCATTTGAGGGAAAAACAAAGACAAACAAGATGAACAAGAGCTCTTCCAGGAACGGTGATGCCATTTTTCTGAAGACTTAATTGGTCTGTAGGTGGCGATTTCTTACCTGTTCTCTAATGTGGAATCTAACCGGCACTGGAGCAGATAATAACATTATGGCTATGTACTCCAGGAAGAAGTGAACCACCTTCATAACATGGACAACGTTTTATTTCCATCCAGCCTGTAAAATGTATAGCAATTAAAATGTTTTCACAAACTTGTGACATGAGCCAGCAGGAACGTCCAATGAGTTTAGTTTTTCTGGGACAAAAAGTCACTGCTGTATCACAACAGTCCAGAGGAAAATCAGTCTTAAATTGGCACTAAATCTTTTTTTCATTACATTTTCAGCAGTCAGTTAAGTCTGTTATTCTGTTCTTTCTGCTTGAGTTAAAAGGCCGTTAATGATGCTAGCGGCCAACTAAAAATAATAGACATGAGTCACTTTCAGTCTGAGTTTTTGCAAAAGCCAGTAATTGAATCTTGAACTCGTGACTTGCCATATATAGTGCTGCTGTTTAGGACATAAAGTAGTTATGATATGAAGGGAACGTCAATCTCAGAAGGATCTGGGTTTGTTTAGTGGTGAAATCCAGTTTCAGTTGAAATTCTTTTGCAGCTGCTAAACATACTTGTCTTTGTTTCCCTCCTCCTCACTCACAGCCAGAATAAAACCCAGAAATCCCAATAAGGGTTTGTATTAATCGCTCACAGCCCTGTCCTCTGTTCCCTGTGTTCAGGCTCTGCAGATGGGGTTCTTGTGTTTGGCCCTGCTGGGTCTGAGCTCGGCGCTGGTCTGTCCCAATGGACACACATGTCAGAACAAAAACACCTGCTGCAAGAATACTGAGGGGGGATACGGATGCTGTCCGCTACCACGTGTGAGTTACCAGTCACTGTTGTGTCTGACCTGGATATTAAGCAAGTACACTATCGTGCTTCTATAAGTTAAGACGAGGGTAGCAGCCAGGTACTGCTAACCAAATGCACTTGATTCATCGATCATCAGTGAGTGTGAGCGACGAAGAGTTTGCTAGTCTAAAGCATTTGTGTGTTTAACACAGTGCTGAAGAGGGAAGATGCCAGTAATGATCTCAGAGGAGCAGTTGTTGCTGCCCATCAATCTAAGGGAGGGTTAGAAAGCAGTTTCCAGTCAGTCTGAAGTCTGTCATTCTACATAAGTGGAAAACATTGGATACAGTTGCCAGTTTTCCCAGGCGTTCAGGTCCCGGCACGTTTACCATAAGATCAGACTGTCCAGTGCTTAAACTGAAAAAAACCAAGATCTGCATCTCACACTCTACATGCCTCAGCGTGTTTAAGTTTGTGACGCACAATTTACAAAAAAAAGAAACTAAACAAAAAAAAAGAAACGGGTGTGACTTGTTTACAAGTGTCAGGAAAAAGTGCCTTGTCATGGCAGCACAGCTTAGGTTTGCAGAGTTACATGTGAATATTCCACAAGAGTTGCAGAACAATGTTTGTTTGGCACTGTATAAATAACGTTTGATGTAATCTGTCCAAATGACAAAAGCACCTCAATGCACTTTATATTATATGATAAAGACCCTACAATGATTCAAAGAAATTCCCAAAATTGGATGACCCTGATGAACAAGCACTTGGCAACAGTGGGAAAGAAAACTCCCTTTGAACAGGAAAGAAACTCCTGGAATCAGGCTCAGGGAGGGGCAGCAATCTGCCACGACCGGTCGGGTGTAAGGGGAGGAAGACGTGACAAAAGATGCTCTGTGGAAGAAAGCCCGAGATTATTAATAACATCAACAATCATGGGACGTGCCCAGCAGCCTAGGCCTGTTGCAGCATAAATAAGGGAGGGTTCAGGGTCACGTGTTCCAGCCCCAAGTACATGCTTTATCAACTCTGATCTTAAAACGTCATTCCAAATGTCAGCACAGTGGTGGAGAGCTGAGGGTTTGTTTCACAGCCACAGCGTTGTACTCTAGAGTCAAATGGTCAAAGCGTGGTCCAAACTGGATCATGCACCAGCACAATGATTGTAAGCACAGCAGCAAATCTACAACAGAAGTTATTGAAGTAGTAGGTCAAGCTGCAGACCTCAACCCAACAGAAATATAGTCAGGACCTTCAGAGAGCTGTGCACAAATCAATGCTACATGCTTCAAGGATCAGTAGCAACACTGCAAAGAGTGGGAAAATTCCTCCACTGCAAAGTCCAAGCCTCATGGTCATGTAGAAAAGAATTACTTTAAGTTGTTGTCTGTAGCGATCTGCTGAGTCACGGCTTGTACTTGGTTTTTCACATGACGGCAGAGGGTCCTGTGAAAATTAACTTTCTCATGACTATGAAGACTACTTAATGAGGAAAAGAGTATTTTTATCCATTTAAAACAGTCATTAGAGGGCCTTCAATGGCGCAGTAGGCGGGGTCACATGGCAGTTTTACCCACAGACACCACTCTGGCTTGTTCTGCCACAGTAAATGAGTAAAACTGGAAACCTGCAGCATGTGAGCTGTAGAGTACAATTTTCCTAGAAGCTAGCTGTGAATAAGGCGAGCGCTCAAACTCGGGCCGTTTCTCAGCCATAAAGCGCTCTCACTGAGAACTGAGTGTCCGTTGTACTGATCGAGGATGACACGGGGTTTTATTTCCCTCTGTGCAGGGGCGTCTTCCTTCTGACGGTGTTTTAATTTTGAGAGCTTGTTCATATTGCTCACACGCTGAAGGGGAGTTCTTTTAAAAATATAGTATTAGAAAGTTTAATAGAACAAAACAGTCAACATACAGTTTCATAGAATGACTTTGAACATTATGCATATTATTGACAGTATATGTTATATGACTTTTGTACTATAAACTAATAAAACTCAGTATTTATGTTCTGCTTGGAAAAAATAGTATTGTAAAATGTCAGTTTGCTGTCACTTAAAATAGATTTCAATTTTTAAGTTTCCTCTCAGTGAACCTGTTTCTCTTACACTCTGTTTGAATCCCTCTGTAGGCAGAGTGCTGTTCAGACCACCTCCACTGCTGTTACGAGGGCACGCTGTGTGATTTGGTCCATGAGAAATGCGTCAATAAAACGGTTTCCCTGCCGTGGATGACACGACTCCCGACCCAGCCTCAGGTGAAGGGGGTGGGGCAAAGCTTAGCTTCTGTCTTTAGACATCTTAACGTTGATTACCCCACCAACAACCATTGGAAGATTATCTTAAAGGAATCTCCAGTGAACCAAGCTCAGTTTTGTTATCTGGATACGTTTGCTCAGTTGGTGTTATTTGTTAAAATAATGGAATTGTCTTATCTGCTTTGTACGTTCCTCCCACCCCAAAAACAAATGACGTAAAAGAATGACTCTCATGGGTAAATAAGGTGTTTGAAGAGGTGCGGGGAATGTTTTTGAAACGTGCAGAGTATTGAGAGGCGCAATAGTGTTGGTTTCACGATGGCACTACAAGCACAGATGCTTCGACCTCCCCCACACACGCTACCTGATCTCTCTTGGTGCAGCGCCAAGATGTTTCCACGGACTTAATCTCTCCAGCAGTTGTTTGTTCTCTTGTCTTGCAAGGAAAATCAATATTTTATATATGTATATTACGCTGTGGCTGAAGTGATTTTCAGTGTGTTTTAATTGATTATTGATTCCTTGAACTGTTCATATTTGAGTGTTTTTAAACCTTTTGTTTGTTTGACCATGTGGCGTCCTTGCATTTGTATGCGTTGGCTGTGATGTGATTGCTTCAGCTCGAGGAGACGGTGAAGGCAGTCGTTTGTCCGGACCAGGTGTCCGAGTGTCCGGATGACACGACTTGCTGCCAGCTTCCTGACAGCTCCTGGGGCTGCTGCCCCTTAGCCAAGGTGACACACATAAGCACAAACGCCATCTCTTTGCCTAAAATCACTGACTCCACACAAGCCCCAGGTTTCTCACACCAAAAAAATGATCAGCTGTTTCTTGCATGAGTTCTTGACAGGCTGCCTATGAAAGTTTGTAGCTGTTTAAAATGAATTGTGATGTATTTCTTCACCAACACTGTATGTTTAATACGCACTTCAGTTTGCCTCAAGTTTCACACACACATTCAAATGGTTTCAGACCATGTTTAGATGATGTAAAGGCTTAGAAAATGCAACAGCTTTAAGAATCTTCGTTTATTTGCAACCCTTCTACTACCACAAATTCCTGACACTTCATTTAGTGATGACTCTGTTTTAAATCCTTAGCGGTGATCATTCATTTTATATAAAATAAAATAAAAAGTGTCATTAGACTTGTGGTCTACTGTGGTTGTCTGTGTTGCGTCTATTTGCCAATGTCTTCAATCATGTTGCCTCAGCACTCATTGAGGGGTGGTTGTGTGGTTCTGAAGTTGCTTCATGAACAAATTGGCTGGCAACACAGAATGACACTGCACGTCTGCCACAGACTGCACATTTTCTGAAGTCAAAATTAGTGAGTCTGACCTTTTGCTGAATCACTTATAGCTGCTGATGTCAGCACTCTGCAGCTGCCAGCAAAGGCAAAGAGGGGGAACTTGATCGATCCTGAAAGCAGCTAAAACTATAGAAATGTCAGAATCTAAAGTGTTAAAATGTCAGACACTTAGGATTTGATTTAGACACACCAATAATGAAAACTTTATACATTTCAGCTTTTTCATATTCTGATAATGGCTAATATTGTGTGAATATAAGTCTTATCTCTGTATACTCCTGGTGGAAAATAAAATAAATGTCTGTTCAGAGTGAAATGACCAGTTTTAGACATTTATTTGCTTCAAATGAAACACTTTGAATTTCTTCAGTATTTAAAACTCATTGAAGCTGCAGCATTTCCTTGGAATCAGATGGTGTTTGTTGGCTGCACATTCAGCAATCAGTGCTCATTTGCTTTAATAGAAAGGCACATCTGCCTGTTTTATTCAAACTACTCTATATACTGAATTTAAATGTCTCACGTGCATCAATTGTTCATTTTTCATGTCCCAGTTGTATATCTATAGTGCTGGTGTGCTTCACGATCCCGTGATCTTCTCTCTGCAGGCGGTGTGTTGTGACGATAGGCGCCACTGCTGCCCTGAGGCAACGAAGTGTGATATCGCTCACTTGCGGTGCGTCTCTGCCTCGCTGGAGTCTTTCCCTCTGCTGGCCAAACTACCTGCTAGAAGGAGAGGGAATAACCCAGGTGGGGATTGCATCATATAAATAAACAGTGAAATGTGACGATCATGTATTCACTTACGTTTCTAAATTTATATGCAGATGATACTGTAGTGTTAACAGAAGACTGCGTTTCTTTTTAGGTCTTACTACTTTTGTAGCTTCCATTGGCAGTTCAATATCGTGCCCTGATGGGAAACTCAGCTGCCCGACCGCTTTCACATGCTGTCTGCTACCGAGCGGAGAGTACGGCTGCTGCCCATACCCAAAGGTGCATATAAATGCTGTAGATGTAGTACAAGTGATTTGAATTCAAGTATTCCAACAGTTTCCAGCATTTTCCATATTTTTATGTTGCTGAATTAAAGCTGTTTGATTCTTACTGTACTGATTGGAGGAAAACATTGACACGAGGGTTCCTAATAAGGCTAAAACATCCTGTGTTTGAATCTCATGCAGGCCACATGCTGTGAGGATCACCTTCACTGTTGCCCTGCCAACATGGAGTGTGACCTGAAGCATTCACGGTGTAGGCGTGGCGAGACCGTCATGCCCCTGATGAAGAAGATCCCTGCTGTAGCCAGTGACAGTAAGTCTTATCTTTAAATTAAAAAACAAACATTGAATAGGATTTTATTGATGGATCCCGTGTCACTTCTGTCATCCCCTCAGTCAGTTGTCCAGACAAGAAGTCATTTTGTCCTGATCACACCACATGCTGCAAGATGATCAACGACACCTACGGCTGCTGCCCGATGCCCAGTGTAAGTAGTATGAAGTCACTGAGCGATGGGGTCAGTTTAGATGAACAGGAAGTTGCAGAGAGACCGACTCTTACTAGCTAAAGGTTGTGAAGCTTTTTAATATTTTATCAGGTGTTTAGTCTTTTTAGATATCAAATAAGTGGCATATTTAACAAACTGAAGGCTGCTTTTGCTCAAATGTAATGAGTCCCTGTTGGAATTTCCTTTCATTTATGAATTTGAAATACTTATGGAGAGTTGATTCAAAGTGTTAAGACTTCCTTTTGGTAGTTTTCCTCTGAAACTCAATACGAGGTTGAAAGAAACGCTACAACGTTGCAATGAATGAAGTAATCATTAGACTGAAAAACCAGAATAAGCTGCACAGTGCTTCAAAATGAATGGATAATTAGCCAAAAAACACTGCAAAATCAAGGCAGGGATATTCTTCAGTGGACGTCCTTCACCTGAGCTCTGCTCAAAAGCTTTTCAGTTACTGAAAGCACAAAGACTCATAAATGAAGGTAGTTGCAGTAAAGGCCCAGGAGAGCAACTCGGGGGAGGAAATGCAGTATTTGATGAGGTTGAGTTCTCACTTTCACACAATCATTGATTGCAAAGATTTACTACTTCTTTCAGGCCATCTGTTGTTCAGATCGCATCCACTGCTGCCCTGCAGGCTCAGAGTGCGACCTGTACCACAGGACCTGTGAGTCTACCCAGAGAAACCCCACCATGACACTGGCAGAAGCTGCAACCGAGCTCCTTAAAGTCCAGAGAAAAGGTGAGTGAGATGGCCATCGTCACATCTTCTGTGATCAAACTCTAAATATTTAATGTGTTTCAGAGAAAAACATGTTTTAATACAAACGGTTTTATTAATATCTTCAGTAATGTTGCCTTAGTCTGTTTTTGACTGAAATTCGTCAACTTTAACGTTTTGAGTGGAGTGGGAAGAAGCTTTTCTCCATCTGTTTTCATCTTGTCAGTGATTGGGTTTCTTTGTGCCAAAATTTTGACAAGGAGGAAGAAGAATGTGTGAAATGTATATCTGGTTGTGCTGCATTGTGGTTTTTTGTTTTTTTTTTGTTGTTTTTTTTTTTTTTCCCTCAAAACGTTTCATTGAGTCAAGCAGTGTTACAGGAATCTAAAAATGTTAGCTTCTGTGGTGGTGATTTTTATTGTTCTGCAGACCTTTCAGTCCATTCCATCCCCTGCAACGACTCTGTGGCCTGTGCTGACGGAAGCACCTGCTGTAAAACACTGAAAGGAGACTGGGCCTGCTGTCCGTTACCACAGGTACACTTTTCCTTTAATGACCTGTTCTCCTCTCCGACAGGGACTCTGTAACTCATGTGATTTATTGTTCATTAATAAACACGAGTAGAGCTTATTAACGGGCTCTCCTTTAGGTAATGTAGTAGTTCATTTGCAGACTCCAAGTCTGGGTTGTTCCTCATCCCTGCAGGCTGTGTGCTGTGAGGACCACCTGCACTGCTGCCCCCACGGCACCATTTGTAACCTGAAAAGCTCCACGTGCGACGACTCCACAGGTAACGCCGTGACTCCCATGCTTGGACACGTGCCGGTATTTCCTTTACTGGAAGACGGTAACAACAGGTGCGACAAATCAACGACATGTCCTGGGAAATCCACCTGCTGCAAGACTGCGAGTGGCGGTTGGGCCTGCTGTCCGCTGCGTCAGGTAATCCGGGGCTGAAGTGAGGACTGCTTTCTTCTGTCTTGTCTCTAGTATTCAAAATGCTGAGCTCATGAAAATCCTGTAACCACAAGTACATCAGGCTCAAACCATCAACAGAGAACTGAGCCAGATTTTTCTGAGGAGGGCAAACTCATGCTGATGTGAGTGGGCGAACAGTGGCGCAGGTCAGCGGGTGAGCTAGTAACAATGAGCTAATTCGTAAACAAACATGATGCCAATTTATTTCAAAGACTCACAAAGAGCAAATTAGTGTGTGTTAAACAAGCAGACTCGATGAGGGAGCGGGTACCGATCACCGCCTTTGGAAAGATGTGCTAAATTAATGCTGCCCAGGACGCTCACACAGGAGATTTATGATCTTAAGAGTTTACATTTGTAAATTAAAAAAAAAAAAGTAATTGGCTTACATGGCTTTCTAGTAGTTCGGTGTAACACTCCTCTGGTCTGTATTGTGTGTACCTGCAGGCTGTTTGCTGTGATGATCACATCCATTGCTGCCCTCACAGCAAAGTCTGCAACCTGGCAGCCGAAACTTGCGATGACCCTCGGGGCTTCTCTCCGCCCGTCTCCTGGCTGACAAAGGTAGCAGCTCTGACCTTGGAGGTGGAGGATGAGAAATGCGATGAGAAGACCAGATGTCCGTGGGGCTCCACCTGCTGTAAAATGAACTCCGGACAGTGGGCCTGCTGCCCTTTACCACAGGTCAGCATCTCCTTTCTGCCTCCTGATCATATGTGCTGGCCAGATTTAACTTTGATGTGCAAATAGCCAAGGGTTTGTTTGTTCTTGGTGTCAGCTGTGGTTATTTCTGACATCCAGTTCAAATTTTTCTTACTGATACTTGAATTATTTTTATCCACAGCACATTCAAACACGACAGAAATTGTAATGATTTGGTTAACATTAACCACCTCTGTAATTTCTCTTTTTTTTTTTTTTTTTTTTTTTTTTTTGCCTGGCATCATCTCCTAATTCCTGTGTGATCCCAGGAGTGCTTTCATGGTGCATAAGTGGCTCATCTTTAGGTCATGACCTATTTCTGGGTGGTTATTTGTTTACTGTAGTAGATGATTTGACCAGTATTTCAGGAAGTGGGCTTGTAGATTCCAGCTTCCAGGTCTTGAAAGTTCATACTCATCTGTTAAGCCCTATTTGCACAGGATTAGTAGTACCAGGGGACCTTATGTGATTTAGACACATGCACGCCCCTCCTAATCCTGAATTAAATTCATTAGAGGTCCCCAGGTAATCCTAGATCCAATGTGAACAGTGATTACAGTCCAGCTTAAGACGTGTGATGGTTAGAAAATGTCAATCAAACCCAAGTCTGAGGATGGAAAATAAGAAGTCAGCTGTGGCTCTGAGTGCATTTCAGTAATGTCTCATTCACACTAGTTTAAACACAAAGTGGAACGGGACAGCAGCCTGCTTGTAACTCAGGGAAACTTCATTTGAATATGTATTGAATTTTTATTTGGTCTGTAACTGTTGGCAGTTAGATGTGTTGACCAGCCTGAAAAATGCTCAACCTTTGGACGACAACCCGGCCATAAGCTGACTACATGGGCTGACCTTCCAATAGGCAACTGGTCTCAGTTGAAGGCTGACCACATCTCATCTTTGTTTCTTCACAGGAATCAACTTAACTGGTGAACAGCCAGTTGTTTTGTTGTTAATCCATAAAAATGGGATGTTGCCAAGCGCTACGTTGCCAAGCGCTACGTTGCCAAGCGCTACGTTGTAACGTTGCAGTTAAGTTTCCATCCTGCAGCAACTTTGTTTTTAAAGGTTTTTTTTTTCTCTTCTGAGTGCAATTGTCTACATGACCCCCGTTCAGTCACAGACTGGTATCAGACTAACTTGATCTTATTGCTGTTTCAGTCACATGGCAGCTGACTGAGTGATCAGGCATGGGCCCGTCAAAGTGGCTGTTTCAGTGACTTCATTGCAAAGTTTCAGTAATTTTGGTCAACCTATGCTCTCAACCCTGTTCTCCCTCATGTGACTGTAGAGGATTTCTGTACTTCTACTTTGAGACAGCTGTTATACCTGAGTGGATTTTTCAGAGGTAAAGACAAACTGATTGAAATTCTGAATTTAAATGTATAGATGTGTTAAATCATCCAAAATACTCCTTCTCTTTTGGGAAGATGTAACAGGAAACACTGAGATTTGCACCTGGAACCAGTGGTTTAACAACAGAACTCTTAATAGTAGACAATTAGTTGGTGTTTTGAAGCTGACTAGAGGTGGATCATATGGTGTCAAATAAAATGAGGATAACTGTTCAGCTGTTTCATCAACAGAAGAGCAGCCTGTGATGTTTTGAAGGATTTCAGTCTGTGATGTAGAACTCGTTCCTTGTTTCGTTCCAGGCTGTGTGCTGCAACGATCACGAGCACTGCTGCCCCAAAGGCTACAAGTGCAATGTGGCAGAGGGCACCTGTGACAAACCCGGTGGCCTCAGTGTGGCCTGGCTGCAGAAGATCCCAGCCCTGCAGGAGGAGCTCGGCCAGACTGTTTCCCATCCAACTCAGAACATGTGCGACGCCCAGACCAGCTGTCCCAGAGACACGACCTGCTGCTTCATGGAAAAGGAACACAAATGGGGCTGCTGCCCTCTGCCGAACGTGAGTTTAACCCCTCCCTTTTTTAAATTATTAATTCTTTTTAAATGGGAGCGTGTCAGTTACCCGTGTTGCCCGTCAGGCTGTCTGCTGCAAAGATGGAAACCATTGCTGCCCCAGCGGACACACCTGTGAGCCCCACCACTTCTCCTGCTCCAGAGGTTCCCATGTCATACCGTGGTTCGCCAAAGTGAGCGCTGTAACAGAGCTGGGCGCCGTGATCGACGTTAAATGTGACAACAAGAGCAGCTGTGCTTCAGGGACGACCTGCTGTAAGCTGAAGACCGGAAAGTGGGGCTGCTGCCCGCTGTTCAAGGTTTGTGCATCAGTGATGTTCGGACTGTCATTAAATACTCGAGTTTTCCACAAAGGTGCTCATTTGATAAGATCACAAACTGATCTGTGACATTTCTGCAGTGTCTTGCTGATGTAGAATATCATTTGGTTTCACAACAGACTAAAATGAATCAGACAGCAGTTTCAAAAGTGATTTAAAACCAGCTTTCTTTCCTGTTTAAACAAATTTGGTGCTTACAGCAGGAAATACAATTGCCATTTAGACCATATTTTTGGAGTGTTCAATAGTGTGTATAGGGAAAAGCTTAATAGGAATCACTGAAATGCTTCACTCGTGGCTGTAACATGTTAATATCTGGCATCGTGGTCTCTTCTCAGGCTGTTTGCTGCACTGACCACGAGCACTGCTGCCCTCAGGGCTACACCTGCAACATGCAGACAGGAACATGCGAGAAGCAACGACGCTACCACTACCTCAGCACCATCCCTCAGATCGAAGTGCTACAGTCTGTGAAGGAGGACGAGGAGGATGTGGCGTGTGATGGCAGGGGCGAGTTTCGCTGCTCCAAACGAGACACCTGCTGTAAGATCTCCGCCACGGAGTGGAGCTGCTGCCCCTCCCCCAGGGTACGTTCACCTGTCAGTCCCTCCCACTCATTTACATTTGAAGTCATTCTTCCAGCCGTGACTTTGGATGGTCCTTGTTCTAGGCTCGATTTTGGAATGTTTATGTTAAAACTTAGCAGGTATACTATATGTTGCTGTGCTACTACTCATCTTTGATAATCGACTTTTATTGTTGCTGAATTCATTCAGCTCATATGTTTGTTTAGAATAAAATAAGTTTGAGCCTTGCCGATTGATTCGGTGCTGAACACGCTGTGTCTGTTCTCAGGCCGTCTGCTGCTTTGACTCGAAGCACTGCTGTCCTGCCGGGTACTCGTGCGACCTCAAGGCCGGAGGCTGCACCTTGCAGACCCAGCTGACCTGGGACTCGTGGTTTGGGGACCGAAAGAGAGACCCTGTCCCCCACGGACTCTAATCCACTGAAGTGCAATGATGATCTCAATCTTTCCGTTATGTCATCTACTGGTGTTGTCTGTGGACAAGAAGGGCTTCTTCCCGTTTCATTTCGTGGAGGTGCATTCACTGAGTTTTTTGCACTCTTGCGTATTTTTGAGTTTTGTGTGGTTGGGGGGGATTTGGTCCACATATGCAGGAAAAACATTTGTTTAATTGTTTTTTGCCAATGACGGAATTTTAGTGAAGTTGAAGTAGTTTTCAAGGTGGAAGCAGGTGAAACCTAGCCTGCATTCTGGTTGAAAATATTTATTGCACTCCTTCAGAACCACTCCACATCTAGGTTCCAGGACAGCTTTACAGTGCGTCCGTTTCAACCTGCGGTGTTATCTGTTAATGTCAGATCTGAAGTTTTCTTATAGGTAACAAACCCCATTTCAAAATAAACTTCAGTGAATTCGTCTCTTTTGAAAGTCTATTGTTTCTGCTGATATTTTTTCTCCCCCTTTCTTCTTCAGACAGAGTAGCTTAGCATGAGTGAACTTAAAATAATGAACCCATACAGGGAGCTTGACGCCTGCTCTCAGTTCATTCTGTCTGAAATTGGCTGCTTCACTCCTTTAGCTCTACGTATCTTCTGATTGGCTGCCCAAAACTTTAAACAACAGGTGGGTGCAGCGGGTGGAGAATGCGCTCTTCAACCTTTTAAGATAGAGGAGCATGTTTTTGTACCAAGGTTGACAGTTCCTTTTGAGTTTGTGTAACAAATCTTATGCATATTTTGATGACATTTGTTGATACTTTCATGAAAGAAACTTCCTGATCATTAGTGTTTAAACATGAGTGCACAGAGCTGGTCTACTTCTCTGGAAGAGAATCATGAATGTACAAACTGCCTTGTGAGCAACATTTCCTAAATAATCTGACTTGAACCACGTGTCTTCTCTAAAAGGCAGTTTTTTGTTAAGTCGGCAGAACGGTATCATCTTTCCTGATAGTTTATTCATTAAAATGGCAAAGTTGCAAATTAACCACTTTAACAGTGAAAAACCACAAATCTGGACAAACTAACAGGTAGCCTTTGGAATTGTTTCCAGTGTTTCTGAATTTATTGATGCAGTCGTTAATTTGACTGTTTCAGGCTTAGAGGATCGAGCTGTCAGATTAGAGCTGCTGTGATTGTGGGCACATTTACTTTATGGTAAAGTGGTTTTGGTGTCTGGAGACTCGATGTTTCACTGACTCTTAAGAGTTTTAAAAAAGAAAACATCGTACAGCAGACTGTCAAACATTTATTGTTGTACATGCAAACTGAAATGTAGGCGTCTGTAAAGGTGAGAGGAAAATTTTAGACATTTCACTTCCAGAAACGAAGGATTTATTGGAACATTTCATGGCTGAGCCAGTTTTAATCAGGTTTTCATAACCATTTCACGCTTTCGCCACAACTTGGCTGCTTGTTGCTGTTTTAATGTTGCTACCAACAAGCAGCACCATTTAATAAAATAAATAAATAAACAACAATAATTAAAACAACATTTCTTTCCTCATTTGGAAGCTGACGGGACACGAACGAGCATCGAGCAGTTTGTGCCTTCTTCAGTAGGAGTTACTTGTGTCCTTTGGAAAGTCTTTTGTTTTGTGCAGTTGTAACATTGATTTGCATCTTTGTCTTCATGGAAACGTAACACAGGCGCTCAGGAGAATCTTTTGGAGTTATTTGTGAATTGAGACTTGGTCAGTGTCACAGTTGGTAATATG